AAGTATAATACGTACAGTTAATCAGTTTTAATATCACATATTCAAATTTTTAATTTGAAATTTGCAGTTCTGTTTACAAAATTGAATATTGCTATTTGTTCTCTCGCTCCCTGAGGACCTTAATTACACCACGATTATCTTTGAGTAATGTAATGATCTCTATCAATCATGATTATCATGATCAGAAATTGGCATCGATACACATTATCTCAGTATACTTTAATATGAAAAATATCGACCTAAAAGCATTAATGGTGCGTTTTGTTTCCTCGTCGTAATATTACAATAATATGTATATTACGTGTGTATATCGTCTAATAAATACAAAGTATGTTCGGTCAAAATGCCGAGGGACCGGTAAAAACGATTCGAATTACGAATAGCCTTTTCCTTCTCTGTTGCAGCGAGCAAACATGTAGACAAAAATATATGTATATACGTAATATATATATATATATATATATATATATAAATACACATCTCACACGAGTATACGTAAATATATATATAAAATGCGGATATATATATATATATATTTATCGATATAGTATTTATTGACGTCGTCGACTTTAACTACAACAACAAAAGGAACCGCAAAGACTTATTAGTATTTAATCGATCGCGAGCAAAACCGTACGACCAGATTAGAATAGTATTTTTCTACTTGAAAACCCAGGAGAAACGTCGGACAAAAAAAGTACCGTACAACCAAGAGAGGAACCGTGCACTGATATTATTATGCCGGCGGCTGTGTTTCCACGCCGCGGGCGGAATCGATTACGCGACACGCGTCGCACTTCTTACGTTTTAGCGAAGAAATGAAATGTCGGTGAAGAAAAGTCGATCATTATTAGCGAAATGCGTCGCGACACACCATTATGGGAAAAATAATCGAAATACCGCGGGGATGATCGTCAGAGTCTGCGGCGCGAGAAAGAGACAGAATCAAAACGGACAATCAGCTTATAGAGATGCGTTACGCTCGCGGAAATCGAATCGATGCGCGCTAATTACCTTAGAGTTTACGACAATCGCGATATAACGAGCTTCGCACGACCACACCACGACACACGTACACGCAGACACAGACTCGTTACACGTACGACGAACGAAATAAGAGCAGCAGGTACATACGTACATACAATAATACACTGGGAGAACGTGTACACGCAACACATACACGCAGACAAAAGCGCACACCGAAGCGTGTGTGACCTCCATTGCACTAACAAATGCTAACAATTGTCAGAATCAGGGAAAGGGGTGCTCCCCCCCCACCCCCACCCGCCTCGTCGACATCCTCCAACGTGCATTTGAGGAAAAGGTAAAAAATCAAGAACAGCTTTCAGTCGACCAAATGAATAATAATAAAATGTAAAGAAAGTACGAGACGAAGCGAGAGCAGCGACCGAGCAGGAGGCGAAGACTAATTTCGAATGGAATGCTTCGCTCGTTTGGAAGACGTTGTACCGCGAAGTACGAGGAAAACCGGAATTACCCAAAACTGATCCATCTAGCGTCGATCGAATTCACGTTCAATATCGTCGTTACCGATTTAATCGCCGGTGAGACCTACGAAATGCGTTAGTTCCTCGTGCCTTGTTGCTCCGCTCGCTTCGTTGGAATCACCACGAGTATTGCTGCCACGTAGACAGCATTTGCTCTGCTTGTAAATCCTATTAGTTCGTATCGCACTGCTTGCTTCGTACGCACCATTTATCCATTCACGTCTCTACGTAATACGTCCAGCTGATCTCTCAACTCTGTATGTACTCATATACCGTCAACGTAATCACGCTCTCATATAGTGCTATCATTAATACCATGCCATTAGCAACTCTCACCGTCGTATCACCGTCGATATCACACACGTGTGCTACCCGTATTAATTAACAACGATCCAGGAGCCGCTCGAATTTTCACGATTTCGCCTGACGCTCGTTTGCTTCTTGCCGCAGCGGTCGCGAGCCTTTGCTGCACGCGAAACAAGTTAAAGAATACAGGCGCGGTCGTGGAAAGTTATCGAGCTCTGGACAAAGTGTACATAAAGATACTTTATCGACTCCCCTGCCCCCCTCTCTTCAGCCGAGACCCTAAAAGTTTTTTATACCATATCCACCCGTACCAGTAAAAGTCTATCGAGTAAATTATATCAGTGGAACTACTTCTCCTAGAAATCAGTAGTACGAGAGGCCCGCGACTCACACTCCGTTCGGCCCCCTGTAACTACCAGTTTACCCCGAACTCTTTTACGTTTTTGCTCGCAGAGCGTTGTAACTTACGATTTTATTATCGGAGTAGACCGCGCTCATGAAATGCGCCGAGAGAGAACCTTCTGCGAGCACGAAATTCAGAGTCCGAGTCCCGCTTGACAAATTCATGAATCGAACATTCGTCAAGTGGAACCCTTTGAAACTGTTCATGTTCCCAGTGACGAGCGTGTCTCTTCTGTACATATACTTGGTACATAGCTCCCGTGTGAACCGATTTAAGACCAGTTGTCCGAGTGTACGTCGTGCAGCCGCTTCGACGATCAAAGCGAAACGCAACGATCGAAGCGGCTAATCCCTCCTTACTAGAAGTACTTGAGTAATAGAATCCGAAATGAACTTGAAACCGCTCTCTCTACGCCACGGACGTGGAAAAACGGAACCGTCTATCTCCTCGTACGATCGATCGTACGTGAACGAGCTCTCCTAGATCGCTTCCGTTCTTTCGCTCCGTCCTCAACTCTTTGACAGTTTATCCGTAGCAATCCAAACATTAGATTTTATTCGGACCAAAGCTGGCTTGCAACGTAAACCATTTTATCGCAGGTTTTCACGTTCAACGAAACGTTCATTACTCGAACATTGCAACGATACGCGTTCACTTTCGACGAACGAAGAAAATCCGCGGTCTGATCATTATTTTTATCGAACTGTCAGAACGTTGTGACCCGGGACTCCAGATGGAATCTCGTATTTAGATACCCGATGACAACCCGTAGAGGTCTCGAACGAGTTTCGAGGTCTTTGATTCTCGTCTAGTGTTCCCCAACGAACCCCTTCGGTCGAACCGTGGATCTAACTTTTGATTTTGGATACAGGGGCACCAATCCACTGGCGCCGGACGCGGTGGACTTGACGCAGCTGACCTCGGTCAGCGAGTGGCTGGCTTCCATCAAGATGTCACGGTACGCGGAGAGCTTCGAGAGGTCGGGGGTGATCACCCTCGAAGCGGCGGCACGTGTCACCGTTCAGGAGTTGACGGCGCTCGGGGTCACGCTGGTGGGTCATCAGAAGAAGATAATGAACAGCGTGACCGCGCTCCGAGCGCAGATGTCCGCCACCTCGCAAGGGTTTCTCGTTTAATCTCGAGGCCGATCGATGCTGCTGCGTTTCTCACCGGATCGTCACGGCATCGATCGACGGAGGACTCGATACACCATCGATCTGACGGATCGTCCGTTCGAGGAGCATTTCGCGTCGGTCGCCTCCCCGAAAGGCTGAACTTGTATCCCGAATCGGCGACATCCTAGTCAGGCGTTTCTCAAGAAAGTATATGTACATGTACGCGTGTATATCCCCGCGAAAGAGCTCGGCTTCGGGGAACCAGCCGCGTATCGCAGACATTCCAGCGCAAGAAACCTCGACTTTGCAAAAGACGACACATCGAATTTTATCGTCGTCGCTCCGTTTCGACAGAACAAGGTCGCGACGACGGGATCCATGCGAATTCGCGCGACTGACTTTTCGTCTTTCTCTTCCTAGAAATATCGATCTCTTAAAACGAGAGAAATCGGGACTGCCACTGTATAATCACTGCCGTATATCGAATTCGCGTGTATAAAGGCCCCGATGAATCCTGTCCTACGCCCGAACTTATTCGAGACCTGTTCACCGTCGAGACTGCCTGAACATCTCGCTCGACTTCCGTTCGACCCGTTAGAGTCGATCAAGATCGTCCTTGACGAGTCGAACGATCGCCAAGCAGGATTCCGTCTTAACGCACTGAATCGTTGCTCACACGTGCTATTTTCGGTTTTTTCGGTCCGAACTCTGCCATCGACAAAGCCACCCTTGTTTTACAGTGTTCCTAACTCCTTATATCCCTCAACGATGTTCGCAACGAACGGTGATCGGGTTTAGTAACAACGATTCGATCAAACCCCCTGAATCGTCACTACGATACAGATTATTGCACGAACACAAATAGACGGCCTAAAAAAAAATCGAATTAACGAACCCCGCGCGCTGCGCCTCTTTTCCCCAACTCTATGCAAATGGATCTTCGAGCAACGACTGATAAAGAGAAAGAAACGAAGAAGGCGCGAAGCCTGAGTACATATTTAAAGTAATTTGGCATAGAGAGGCGAAGGGCGAGCGTGCCTCGATTGCGAGCCTACACAACCACATTTTACGTCCCGCGTGCCGCGAATATTTTGTAGCTCTTATTAATAAAAGTAAAGCTTAATCGATGTACAAACACTATTTACACACGAGATTCGCACAGAATTTAATACACACGGCAACATCGAATACACACACGTAGAGAGCTCCGCTTTTGCGAATGGAGAGGAGCATAAGCAGATTATAAAATACACGTGCGACTGAGAGCCAGCATCGTTTACGAACATTTACTACTTGGACGTTAATGACGAGACAAAGATTTAAACGAAAAAAAAAACGGAAAGGGGAAGATACGATCCTTGCCTTCGCGTTACCTATACAAATATGTTGTAATACGCGAACCGTATGGGTACCTGTCGATTATTAGAAGGGAGGAAACGGGAGAAGGAACATGTGCCAATAATGCGAGGACAAGAGAGAGAGTGTGCGTGAACGGTGAAAATAACAATATGAGTTTTGCGTGAGAGAGAGGAAGGAAGGCGCAGTCGACGAGAAGAAGGAAAAGGTATCCCCGTCTATCGTGTATCTTGTATCGAACGAGAGAATAGATTATATTGCGCGTAACGCGCGAGACAGATTTATACGGTCGGGAGAGGTCGACGAGTACATACGTTGGAGGAACGGGAAATCGTGAACATATCAAGGCGTACTAAAAAGAAAAAATGAAGAGAGCTTCCATACTCTCGAAGCTCATGCTTTTCGTATCGCAAACGCAACGTCCATAATTCCGGTGGACGGAAAAGCAGCTAGGAAAGTTGTATTGTTCATCGCTTTTCTCGCTGCGCGACCGTACACGAGACATCCGCACACGAACGGGACATTAGGATCGGTCGATAGGAGGTAAAGGGTTGTTTTTCGTCGCGATGGATCTGGTCTGTATCTTGTCGTATCCGCGCTCGCTGATTTGTAAAAAGACTACTTCCAAGACACGCGGGAGAAACACGCACGAATTTGAGTAGATCGACGAGCGGACTCGAACACTTCCCGGGCGAGCCACGCGACAAATTTTATTTTTAATTTAACGAATTACGTTAGGAATATAGTTGACGAGGCTCGACGCCGCGAAAGGAGAAGCCCCGCTGCTTGTCCCGTCGCTGCATCGAGCCTCGCGATTAGGAGATTCTTAAACCGCGAGGTCGTTCCATTTGCATTGTCGGAAAATGCGAGGGAAGGTCCTGGAGAGCCTCTGTCACGTCTGATTCGAGTCAGCGCAGCAAACGGTCGAGCAAAAAAGCAACACGAGCCATGGTAAAAAAAAAATTGGCTACTAGCAATCCCAGTCTTCTTTGCTCGAGCGTTTGCTCGGCCCACGTGTGGCCAGGCATATAAGGGAGAAAGAGAACGGGAAGCTACCAAGAATGGCGACGATTACGAAGCAATAAGTGAATACACGCAAATGCAGATTTTTATATAGAGAATGTTAAAAAATTTCAGAAAATATTAATTATCGATAGAGCTATCTTCCTAAATGTTCGTATTAAAAGATTAAACGAATGGTAAAGGTGGACGAAGGCGGAGAGAACGACGACGTCGCGTCACGAGCGGAGTCGAAATTTTCGCCCGCGGATAAATGAGAAATGGGGGCGAGACGTGTCAGTAGCCAGCCGGGAGTCCGCCAGGGAAAGGGGGAAAAGGTTTTTAAAAGAAAAGTTTCAGCTGTAACTATTTGTGTCTAGCGACGAACCTGCGAGTGCGACCTGAAGTTTTGAGAATGTCGATAGTTTCAGCGAATTAATATTTAGATTTCATAGACCTCTATCGATATTACACGATCGTAGGCACGAAAACGAACAGATGAATAATTAGTTGGAGCGTAAAAGAAAAAAGAGTATCTTATTAGAGAGACCTTTTTCGATTTCACCTCGAGTCTTTCGCGTTCGAACGCCTAGAGCTGTCTCTTTTTCTCGAGTAACCTCCTCTGTTTTACTTTTTATCCACCTTTTCCCTGATTTAGTAGTACCCCCATCCTCGGCGACTAACGCCTGAACACTTGCAAAGCTTTCGATCGTACTTTATGTCCACGTATTTTCGTTCTTTCTTTCTCCCTCTCTATCTATCTGCCTGTCTGTCTGTTTCTGTCTCTCTCTCTGTCTCTCTCTCTCTCTCCGATGTCAATACGCGGAGCGCTTTTTTAATTCTTTCAGAGACGGGGAACCAAAATGCGAGAATGCCGAGAGAAGGAAGAGCGATAGGAAAAATAATTGCGTAATCCGAATCAAAATTCTACAAACGATTCACGCAAACACAAGCTTTATGTTGCTTCTTTCTCCTATCGTTTCCCTTTTATTTGTTCATCTTCTTTTTGTATTATTTTTAGTTACGACTTTTTTTTATTTTTGTCAAGTAATAATTACTACTCCTTCTATCGAGGAAACGCAGCGATGAGTAAACGAGTCAAGAAATTCGTTGAAGACATCTCTCCTCTTACTTAAATACTTTTTTTTACTCGATTAACACTTCTGTACTACTATTTATTAAAAGCAATGAAAGCCTTATTTATTGTTTAGAGATCTGACTAAATTAAAAAAAAGAAAGAAAGGATGGACGTTCTAATCGTGGTAGATTATATCCATTTACCTTGCTAGAATCGTACCAAGGGGGACGTGAAAACGGATATATAGAAAATAAATAATTATTTCCTTACTTCGGGGTTTTCGTGAAGCCCCGCCGCCGTTGTAAAAAAGAGATGAAAGGATAGAATGAGAAAATGAGAAGACCGAGCACAACATCATAGATGAACGATCGTCGAGTCTCTAAGCAGCTATATTATCGATTAGTTAAGCGTTCTTTAAGCGACCTATGTGCACGTTGTTTAATTCTCTTATAATTGTTTCTCTTTTTTTTATCGCCTTCTTTTGTCAGTCTGTTTACAGCGAACTTTGTCAAAGTACCTGCTTCGAAAACGAAAAGCAAACAAAAAAAAATAATAAAAAGGATAAGAAAGAAAAACATATATTAAATTCGCGAGAAGACAAAGCACACAGGTACCGTCCCGTATATATTATAAATAGCTCATCTACTATCACGTACACGCATCATAATTTATGTATACTCGTCGAACTGAGTTTTTACACAATTGGGTTCAGCGAATCGCCACCGTGTGTCCTCGATTCATTGTATAAAAGTAATTAAAACAAATGAAAACAATGCGACAAAGCGCAACAGATGCAATAAGAGAGTTAATGTCGACAAATTTTGGAATGTGTCTAAAAACATTTTTCCTATGGTGTTGTCAAGACGATGTTGAATGTAAATAAGATATAATAAATAATATACCTTATACGATGTAAAGAAGCAGCGATCCACATTCTTTTCGTACTTCTATCCTTGCCACTTATGATTTACATTAATTAAAAAATACGTACTTATACGTAGCAGCGCACAGTACGAAATAATTAGTTCGTTATGCGCGTGCGTGAGCGTCAATTCGAATGTGCGCATCTTTTCGCGCGTCACTTCTAACATCGAGAAAAGATTGACGAACTTATTAATTGATTAGTCCTGAAGTATTCGAGATAGAAAAAAATTGTATACTACCTTTCTTGTAGATAATAGCAGTACCTACAACTTTTACTTGAAGCATTTTTCGAAATTTCGAGAAAAAAAAATTTTCAGTTTTTCCGAGATTTTGTTAAGAGGTGCCCCTCTGGATTCTCTGAAATTCTCGTCTTTCGTAAATATCTACTTACCGGTTGCTGCTAGCGAAAAATGTTTCAAACAAAAGTTAAAGATATCGCGAAAAGCTACAACTTTCATATGAAACACTTTTTTCTACTGTCAATAGTTAACACTTATTTTGTAAAAAAATGTTTTCTCGTTTTTTGTATAATACCCGTTAACTGTCGACACTAATAAAAAATGTTTTAGACAAAAGTTATAGCTATAATCATCAGCTATAAATAAGGTCCTATGCAATTTTCTCGTAGGTCCAACGGTTTAGGAGTATTTGAGAAAAAAAGAAATTTTTTACGAGAAGTTTGCTGTTTCGACGGTGGAGCCGGATTTTGTCAGTACCCATAAAATGCCAATTAATCGTACTTAACTCATTAAATATCGGAGTTAGAAGAAAAATGCATAGGTCCTTTAGAAGACAATTTCGCTAGCGGTAATAATTAATTAATAAATAAAATTGTTTATTACAATAACTTTTTCACCCATGGATTGAACATAGGGAGGGAAACCGTTTCGGTTCTTTCTTCCGTCGTTGGAAATCGAACCTCCTTCAAATTTCACATCCATGACCGCATCTGCAGTCTATATAGTAGATGATTTCCGGGTAGATCTTTTAACGAGCAGCCGCTAGAGTGCATTAGAAGCGTTGCCGTGTGGAGTAAACCTTTTTCCGATCTACATACTTTCTCTTCCGCTTGGTTTCTGAATAAGGTTCGTTCCGATTTGTACAATCTTTATTTATCCGAATTAATCGCGTTAATCGTTGTACGCGTACATGATTTTATAACTGTTCAGAAATACACGGTTCTCAAAAGTGCGGCACGTTGTAATCTAGGAAGAGGTTTCTTTTAACGAACGCATTTATATTCCAGAACCAAAATGGTACAACGACTGACCTACCGACGACGTTTGTCGTACAACACAAAGAGCAACAGGAGACGAGTGTAAGTTCTATACTATTCAAAACAGCAAACTGTAAAATACAGTTCCGTTATTCGTACTCTCTTCTACGCGTGAATCGTTCCTAAGATCTCGTGGACTCAATCTCTAGATCGTATAAGCGTCATGTTTTTGTCTGGTACTTTAAACACACGAGATACACGTGTGCTCGCTATTCAAAGATGTGTCACACATCAACCGTGCATAGAAAACATTTCATCTTCATTGTCGTGTCATTTTTATGCCGCCGAGTAATTGTGTAATTCCCTTCGCGGATGTGGTTATGTAGTGTATAAACATGCGTCACAACAATAATGTAAATTCTACAGAGTTCGTACTCCTGGTGGAAAATTAGTATATCAGTATCTGAAGAAACCGAAAAAGATCCCGAGATGTGGTCAGTGCAAAGATAAATTGAGGGGCATCCAACCGGCTAGACCCATGGAAAGGTCACGTATGTGCAGGCGCAAGAAGACTGTTAAACGTGTGTACGGCGGTGTACTTTGTCACAAGTGTGTCAAAGAAAGGTAAGTTCTATAACGTTAATTTGTTTTATTCGTTACCTTCTTATTATTTCACTTTACAGAATCGTCCGGGCTTTTCTAATCGAGGAACAGAAGATTGTCGTAAAGGTAATGAAAGCCCAAGCATCTGCAAAGTCGAAGAAAGTAGAAAAGTAATTTGCTTTTTTATTCATTAAATATAGATATATTTAAAAGAAATGTGTCACGAATTTATTTTTCATACAAACTGACGAGCGTTTACATGATTCCTTCTGTCGTTCAATGAGACTTTCACGATTTTCCTTAATCAGTTTTAATGTTCAAAGTCATGTAACATTTATTTATTGGATGTATATTTAATTTACATTGAATTACATTTAATGTACATTGAATATATTTGCACACGCAACATTTATAGTTCTTTGTATATTGGTGGTTCATCAAAAACTCAAAGCTTTGGCACGTCATATCTGTTTCCGTTCAAACCATAAACTCGTTTCAGCGTTTCCACGACGTGGCTCATTTCCTCGCAGGGCATTGGCACCAGATCGTGTATCACTTGAATCATTTTTAACAAGTCGTCGACAACATGTTTGTCTAACATATCTCCTACCATCGCGAGATCGACGTACGCACCGAATTTCCGTAACACATGGCTAATCTTGGCCTCGTCTGCTTTCGTCTTGGCCAATTCCTGCGAATTAATTAGTTCTATACAACAGATCTGTTGAACTTTTTTTTCATGTACGAAGCAACTTACTTTGTACGATTTCAGATTATAATAGAGTGGCCAGTCTTCTTGACACGGTATACAGTTGCATTTAAAGTAATACTGTTTTAAAAGTTCAGTTTGTCTCGCGTCTTTAGGCGTGAGAGCGAAATGTGGGCCATAGTTCTCGAACAGCTATCGCAGGGAAAAAGAAACGCGAGTTCTCGCGGAATTAGGTACTCGTTCGGCGTACAATTAGGTATTCGTTTCGCGGTACTTGTTCACGTACCTGTTCACCTCTTTTAATGGGGTACATGGCACGTACTACTATGTGCTTGGACGTACAGTCCCTAGAAATATTCGGGCTGCAACTGTGATTCATTAGACTCAAAAATGGCATAATTCCGAAGCCGCGTCGAGCCGCTTCTTCTAATCCACGTTCTTCGGTAAACTATAAACGGATCGTCGAATGATTCCATAAAATACGAGATTACTCAGCAGATACGGTACGTACGGTGTGACCATTACTAGGGATCAATTGTTGATGCCTCAATACGAGACTGCCGACGAATACGGCATCGTTATTGTCTGTCAAGGCCGACAGATCTCTCTCCAATAGATTTCCAAATAAATTAGTTCGAGTGGCTAGATACCACAATATAAAACATGAATCTAAAGATCTCCTGAACAGATCCCGCACGGAACGTTTCTCAGTGTTGGTCACGAGGCTTAACACGCTTCTATACTTGTCGCTAGCAAAGATACCGTCGTTGGAGAAACCTTTTGTTCGAGGATCTGAAAACAGCGAAGTAATACACGATGGTCTTCCGAGGACAAGCATACATATACAAATAACTTGCCATCGCAATTATCGACTTGGATCAATTCCTTCCTTAATTCTTCTATACTCGCGAATTCCCGTACAGCTTGTATGGTCAGTCTTACGCTACACAAGTCCAAATTAGAAGAATCCATCTTCCATACGAAAGGGAATACCGCGCATTCGATGTCGTGATACTTTTTCCAATGCGTTGTTTTACAGTCTTCCGAACAGTACATGGAGAAAGTGCAGTGATCGCAAGGTATATTGGCCCAAGACACTTCTAAGCAATTGGAACAATGCGAATAAACATTTTCATACGTCAACATCAGCGAGTACGGTTTTTCTACGACGACCACTTCTCCGGGCTTTATGTCGCGCGTAGCCACGACGTGTCTGCCGTATTCTTCGTTATACTCTATCCTTACCGCGTCAGATGCACAAGGGACTTCGACGTTACGATTATTTATCTCGGGAACCGGTGGCTGTTTCAGATCGCCTCGCTTCCTTACGTTCCTTGCCATTTTCATAGAATCGAGCTGCTCGATGAATTTCTTTCTAAGGGTATCATCTAGGCACAGTCCTTCTAACGAACAGCGAGCCTCTTCGATAGAATTCTTTACTTTGGGATCCCTCAGAGCATTTAGACATTCTATTTTCCTAACGCAAAGCTTGGCACGTACGTTATCCGGACACGTAAGCGTCAATGCTCTATCTATGTCCTGCAAACTCATTTCGTACTTGTGCAGTTTTACCAAAATGGCTGACCTGTTGGCGTAAGCCAAAGCGAGATTTTGGGACGGACAAGGAGCGTAAGCTACGCTCTTGGTATAAAGCTTGTGCACCTCGACACAAGTATTATTGGTGAGTGGTGTAGAGACGAATAACCTGTTACCCTCTTGCCTGAATTTCTCGGACTGTTTCGCGTCCTTTGAATCGCATTGTTCTTTAGGAAATATTTTGTACTTTGACATAACGTCCAGAGTGAATTTTATTCGTTCTTCATCTGCCCGTAATGTTTCATACTCGCTCACCAGCTCCTGATGTTTGGACGTTGCAATTAGTATTTTATTCAACGTACCCAATACTTCGTCCATTCTCCTTCTTTGTTAGGAAATCAGACTTTATTCGAATTCAAGTATACGTCGCGTGTTTGTTCTCGAATAACAATTGCCAACAATGTCCTTGCTACTCGTCTTTGATTTTGTGATACCGTCTTTACTGAATATGTGCGCATTAGTAGTGATCCTCTACTCTAGAGAGTGATCACAAAGTTAGGACAGTTTCTGATTGGTCGACGCCATCTCTGGCAAAACTGGAAGTAGAGAGAGGATCAGCTGCGGATCGATAGCCGGTATTTCGCGATATCTTTTTCGTCTTTCGTCTCTGTCAACGCCGAACGCATACATACATATATGTCGATACTGTCTCGTCTGGTCCCACATTTTGCGCAATCAGTTCGTAGAAATCAAACGATTTTGTTCGAAAACGTGAGACACGCTACGACTATGGCAAAAAAGTCGGCACTGCTGTTGCTCGCCGAAGGTTCCGAGGAGATGGAAGCTGTAATAACCACGGACGTTTTACGACGAGCCGGGGTAAGGTTCTCTCTGCTTTCGTAACCTCTATCGAATGCCTCGTCGCCGACACGTCTTATTTCAGATCAACGTTACTGTCGCCGGTCTCGGCGAAGGGCCGTGCATCAAGTGCAGTCGTGACGTGAAAATACGTGCCGACATGCAACTTCAGGACGCGATTAATCAAAAGTACGACGTTGTCGTATTGCCCGGTGGTTTGGGTGGCTCAAAGGCCTTCATATCAGTAAGGAGTATATTTTATTAACGTTCAGACAAAAAATACGTATGTACTACATCATGCATTTCTCGTATACTAGTCTGCAGAAGTGGGAAAGTTGTTGCAACAGCAAGAAAAAGAAGGCAGATTGATCGCTGCTATTTGTGCAGCACCGACTGCACTCAAGGCTCACGGTATCGCGAAAGGGAAAAAGCTCACGTCTTATCCTGCGATGAAAGATGATTTGGTGAACGATTACGAATATGTGGAGGACAAAGTTGTAGTCGACGGTAACTTGATCACCAGCAGAGGCCCGGCAACCGCGTTTGCTTTTGGTCTAGCCATTGCGGAGAACTTGGTTAATAAGCAAACCGCTGATGACGTGGCAAAAGCTATGCTGTACATAGCATAATAAAGAACAGTTCCTTCCTTACACAACATGTATGTTTTCCGTTTTTCGTTATTTTATTTCTGATTATATTTGTATTATTTATTTGGGTTCAATAAATTGTTTCTTTTCACTGGGTCTAATCTTAAAAATTATAAGATTTGAGGAATTTCTCGCTGTTCCTCAATGAATTATAAAGACTGGAGCATCGTAGGACTCGGAACTTGGCCTCATAGAGAGAATAGACGAACATTGGTCTTCCTTTGCTACTCCCTTTAAGCATTAAGATTCTGCAATATACTTTCTTTTGCAAAGAATTGTAAAGTCGAGAGAATCGTTATTTTAAATTTCAGCCATGAGGCTGCTAAGCAACCCCCACCCGACCGCCGGACGCGGTTGCTAGGCAACGCCGGCAATCCGCTTGCCTACCGTCATAGTCACGCGCACGCATGCAACGCGCTATCATTAGCATCAAGCGGAGAACTGTGGTTACGGTCTAGTAATTAGGATCGAGAAGAGAAATATTTCCATCTTTCATTAGACATCAGGATGGATGTTGAGCGAATGAATTTATTCACTTTCTTAATCTTAAATACAACTTTTCTTAACAAATGGCAGAAATACAATTTGCAATACACATTGCTTCAACAGTTTAAGAATATTTACAGCTTGAGTTGGTATCGTCTAATCATCACATGCAAGCGGTATCAAAGAATTAATTTACTTAACATCCTACGTCTGTGTACACAAATCTGTGTATAATAATAAATTATCGGTTATACATAGTTTCTCGACTCTTCGTGTCGTCGTTGATAGAAAATGGAGATCGAGGTCGAACGTATAGCATAACAATACAAACAATAGTTGTCGCGATTTTTAACGCTTAAACGCTCGGCTTCATTAACTTATTATAATAATAACAATGTTACAGTTACAAATTCAATGCCGGGTATTTAAGCGTTAATAACGATTGACAACTTGCTGAATCCAGTCGAGGTAGTGCGAAACGCGAGCGTAAACGCCTGGAACTCCTGGTTGTCCGCAACCGATTCCCCAAGACACGACACCGGCCAACTGCCAGCGACCGTTGCGTTCGCAGACCATCGGTCCACCTCCGTCTCCCTTGCAAGCGTCCTTCCCTTCTTCTCCACCCGCGCAAATAAATCCAGGGTGCAAATTAAAACCAGGTCCCAATCTGGTTCGCCTCATTTGTTGCTCGCAGATCTGGTTGTTCACAATCGGCACATCCACTTCCTTTAGAATATTTTGATACTTTCCAAAGTCTCCGAAAGCGTCTTTGCCCCATCCGGTCGTCCAGCACCTGTTTCATTCGTAATTAAAGTAATAATGAATAATCAGTAGTGTTACAATATCTAAAATATGTAATAGACTTCTTTATTTTTAGAATTAGAAATGTTATTACCTCAGAATTGTTTAAAGTGTTTTGAGCAAAAATATACTGTTATCTCGAAATGCAAAGGGAATAGGAAAAGCTTACCTGTTTCTAGTGAAGTCATCGCGTTTGTCCGGCAGACAGGCCGGGCTGATGTGAGGGTTCTTTTGGAAATCGACTTCGTGATCGATCCTTAATATAGCGATATCATTGTAAAGCGTGCCAGCGTAGAATTCTGGGTGCACGTTGACGCTCGACACGTCGCGTTCTATGTAGGGATAGAATTCAACGTCATGGTTCACGTCCCATTCTCCAAGTCGAACGCGAAGATCGCGAGCCGCATACGTCTTCACGCAATGCGCCGCCGTGAGAATGTGTCGTGGAGAGATCAGGGTACCGCCGCACACATAAACACTCTCTGTAGGGTCCTTCTTCAATATCGCTACTTGCCAGGGATATTCACCTGAAGAGTTATTAAAATTTCAGTAATCAATGATAAAATCAATTAAGAGTTCTGAAATGAATATTTAGTATACGAAAGATCAAAGATTCTTACCAAATTCGGCGTCACCGTCGACGTACGACGGGGTCTTGATTCTCCCATTGATTCCTTGAGTGTATCTGATTCCACACTGACCAGGTCGGGGTTTCCGCGACGGTTGCCTTCGTGGACAGCACACGTAGCCAGGTCCGCACACTCGTTGCGAGCCGATGCCTCCGTACTGTCTCTGTGGAGAATAAAAATTTCATTCGTTAATAAGAATCGCGTCAGAAGATTGACCATAATTAACTTAGCTTCGACTGCTTGTACGTTTACGATGCGCATGGAGAAACTCGAGTTCCCCATTGCAATTATCCCGTTCGAGTCTCATAGCCACCGATACTTACCTCCATCGCATCTTTCGGTAACTGTAATTGTTGCGCGTCACGCTTTCTTCTGTTCGGAAACGATACTCTCCCAGTTCTTTCTTTAGCATCGGGCGTTTCCTTACCGTTGCTACGCGCATAGTAGCGGTCATCGTAATCATAATCGTAATCGTAATCGTCATCGCCGTCTCGATAATAGGAATCAGGGTACTCGTGGTAGTGATTAGGGGGACGATAAATAGGTTTCGTGTGGTACGGTTTTTCGTAGATCACGGCAGGCTTGGAAGGGTAGTAATGAGAGGCGTAATTCGGTCCGTAACTATCGAACAACGCTTGCTTCTTGTGAGAGAGCAGATGGCCGAGTTTATGCACGATATGTTGACTCGGCGTCACGTGCAAATTCACGAACGGCTTTACCACCTTATCTCCGTACTCGTCTTTGGTGAATTGCACGGCTAGCAGAGGGTTCACCGAAACCAGGCCTAAATTAATGCCCTGACCGGCCGAGCCGTACCCATTGTACGGGTTCACCAGTACATTGTCACCGTGAGGACCGATCGGGTACGGGCCACCGGTTTGCGGTAGTCCGAAACTGATCCCCCACGTCGGCTTCAGGTTTAATTTCGAGGAGTCCAGATCGCTAGCGTCGAGTCTCTGCAACCAGAGAGTCGAACAGTCACGCGGATAGAGACCGAGTTCCTCTCCATTAATTTTGCGTCTCGCGTTTCGCGTTCCTGCCCCTGTGAGTTTCGCTACTCGAAACGACGACGACGACAATTCCCTACGCTTATCGTCTAGAAAATTGATTAGACCGCGGATTTGATGCGGTTAGAAAATTGCATGTACAGAAATTATTAAGTATACGTCAGTATTTCGCGTACAAATCTGCGGTCTAAAAATGAGTCTACGAGTCGATTATTCTTACCCCTTCTACGTTCTTCTTCCTACCCTCGATGGATTCGTCGTTAGTTGCCTCTCGTTTGCTCCTAGCGTTCTCCTGCGATTCCTCCAACTGTTCGTTCCCGTCGACTTCACTGGATTTTGCTACTCGAGTTCCGTTGTTGTTCTGTTCTACCGTCACGATATCCGCGTTCTCAGCTTCGATGTTCTTGTTGAGATTACGGGGATCGATAGCGAGGAAAAGATCATCTTTGCGCCCAGCGTGCTCGCTCGGACACTGGTCGTACGGCACGCAAACGCAATCTCCCGCGGAGAAATCGCTTCCGAACTCGTCGTTGTCGTTAACATTGCCAAAATAGTTGTTCGTTCCGGAAGCAATGAAATCGTTAGACTGGACACCGTTAGAAATATAATTGTTGCTTCCCGCACCAGCGAAGTACTTGCCGGTTTTAAGACCGTCAGCTTTCCCATAAGTATCTCGCGTCGGTTTTTCGTACACCGGGTATCTCTCGGCGTAATTATTATTCGAAGATCCGCTCAACCCGTTCGCGTCGTTGCTCCCTTTCACTTTGAACGCCTTTTTATAGTCGTCGAAATCTTGGAAACCAGCTCCCAGGACGCCAGAGTTGGGGACGTCGTAGCTGGTCCCTATGTTCCCGTAATTTCCAGTGCCATAGCCTTGATTCGCGTTGATCGGAGTCGCGACGCCTCCCTCACCGTGATGATAATGATGATGCACGTGCTGCTGCACCGCGTCCGAGCCAATGGACGGTCGCAATGCGATTTGCTTTTTGTCGATGAATTGGCTGTTGACGCCGAACTCGATATTTTCGTTCAGCAATCCAGACTCGTAGACAGGCTTAGATGAGAAAGTGGCGGGTGGGCCGGGTTTCTTGAACGCGGGATAAGAGCCGGCGAAGCTGGCTGCGGACGCGAACGAAGGTGGATGAGCTCCGCCACCCACTCCGTAAATTACTTCTGGCGGTGGTCCCGATGAGATGAATCCAGGTGATTGAGGCGGGCCTGGTCTGATCGACGAGCCATAGGGCCGTTTCACTGGAATAGCTGGTAGAGGTCTTCCCACGGGCTTGATCGTTACGGGTTGAGCGTAGATTATGTCTTGAGGATAAATGCCGCGATGCGGGGAGTAGTACGGTCGACGGCCCTCCGCGTCTTCGCACTGTAGGATATTTTAATTATTTAATTTATTGATACATTGGGGATGCACGTGAAACAGAGGCATACATCGAGAATATTTGTTCCACTTACGTTCATGAGTCCAAGCCCGCACAGCTTGTCTCTGATGTAGCTGCGAGCCAGCGTGTCGTTTCCTAATTGAAGCGCGTTCTTCACGTCCGGGTCCGCGTACACTTGGTCGAAGCCTTCCAGGTTCCGACCCTGTCGATTTGAGACGAGAATCTCATCAACTACTGATTCCACCTGCGATACAGTCGATCTTTAAGACTCTTTGCAAACAGAACTTCTTTTGTGTATGTATTGATTCGATTCTTTGTAAATTTATAGAATCTACGGTCTAAAGATGAATTGTTAAGTTCGATTACCGATCGTTGTACGTTGGGTGCATTGACGATTTCGATGTTCGCGTTAGTGTTGACATCAAAGGTAGCTCTCTTGTCTTGCGTTTCCACTTTCTCGGATCCGTCATTCGGCTGCCATGACCACTCGGGATTGTTCACTGGTACCTGAGTCGCACGACTGTGCATCACTATGCCGAGTAACCCGATGAACCACAGCTTCATTCTAATAAAAAATAATAAGAAAATTAATAGCGAATCTTTGTTAATTAATTGATCGACCTAGAGTCTAAGTGGAAAGTCGTATACCTAATTGACGGAGGAGAAAGAAGCCTGTTAACTGTAGGACTGACGCGGGAAAAGTGACTACCGGTGAATCGTTCGAACAATGAAGACCGACCAACGAAAGCGAGAGGATGTCGGGAGAAAGTCGCTAAACAGGTCTTCTCGCGATACTCTCGTAAAACACGCCTACACTACGACGTCGGCTCGTGTCTTCCAAGTACTTGTTTCGAAAATTTCGAACGGTGAAAGTCGTTGCGCAACCGGGACAAAACAAATTTATTCTCCGTTGAATATTGAGTAGAATAAAAGAGATTGATACAGTAATTAAACTTAGATAAAAATGTAATGCTTTTTACTTGTTGATTTTAAAAATCGGGGAACGCGGGGTGAGTTGAGAGATTATTCTGTTCGGTTTCGTTCTTACCTGATTGTTTCGTCCGGTGAAATCCTCCGGTGTTAAAAATCCTTTTTCACACACTAAAGATGTTTGATGAATTAGCTGTGGGTTCGCTAGGTCCAGGTCAGGTTTCACTCTCGAACCGTACGCTTTCTCCGTGAACCAGGTTACTCTGAGCGTTCACCGGTACCACTCGTATCTTATATAGACGTCCCTTTCGGAGATGCTGAATCCAAGTAAAAGAGCACTCACGGTGGGGTGCGCTCGTGACTCATGCTCGCGGACATCCGTTTTGGCTAGGTTCCTCGAACCGCTTGCACCCGCCACTTGGAATTCACAATGTTTCTCAACCCTTTGCCATCGTCTCTTTGTATTTTGTAAAAATCATTCCATTTTCCATTTGTAAAATTCGAGATTTAATTAGCCGAAGTATCGTTCCATTAGGAGATAGAATTCACTTTGCGTACTGACGATAGAATTTGATTTTTTATATTGCCAATCGTTAAATTATATTTTCAAATATGAATTTCGTGTTCGATTAAAACACTTTATATTTCGAACGTTTGGTTTTGGGAATGATGATTTTCCGGAAAATTCCATTGTTAGAAATTTAATTTATGCGATAAAGAATAACAGCCTCGCGTCGTGTTTAAATGTTAATCCACGGATCGATCGGGGTCGGTGTATCGGTGTTACGGATGACACGAATGATGTATAGATGTAGGTGCTCGCAGTTCTACGCAAGCACATTGTGTAACGCGGGATTTTTGTTAATAGACTTACGTAACGTCGACCACGAAGCGTCCTCGTTTAAGAATACACGAGACGGAACCTCCTTAGGAGTCACACCCAAAAAGAATAACGAAGGTCTCGGAATCAGCGATAAACTTATTATCATAAAGTGGTCAAAACATTCGATTCACGTTTCTCTATTCTTGGAAATATTCTGGATGCTGTAACTGAATTTATATTAAAAGAACGGTGTTCCAAATCTATATCGAGCTTTTTACAATTATAATTCTCGGTCCATCGTGTGATAATAAGTAGACTGCAGATTATTACGTGAAATAAAATATATATTTAGATTAACATTTCTTTTATCATTTAAACGTTGAAACATGCATTTAGCATTTGACATTCTGATAGTTTTATGCATCAGTATTTATCATTTCTGCATGTTCAGTTTTCCTATAAGTGCATGAAATCCGGTGTCTAATATAAGAAAATGCTCCGAATCTCGCGTTCTTGTTTCAAGTTGGGAATCGATGAGAAAGCTTGAAGCACCATGCGGTTACAAGAAAGTCGGTAGGTTTCTCCTCTATCGCGTGAAATGGGAAAGTGGTGGAACGATCGGTACAAAGCGTTCTTATTTTGGAAGCTTCAAATTTTCATTATATATACGAAGTCATCTGAAGATTAGCCAACGCCGCCTCCGCGACGACCGTTTTCGTCCCGTTCGCGATTTCGATATCCGGGAGAAAGTGCTCCGCGCTTTGTCGAAATCTCTATTCGTATATTAATAAAAGAAATTACTCGGCATTGTTTTGCTTGAACAGTTTTCAAGCGGATGCGGATCGGTTTGCGAGCGGCCGCGAGAACGAGCACACAGTATAATGTTATGGCTCGGTTGCGTAATCTGGATTTTCCACCCTCTCTCGTAACCCTCTGGGTTTTACGCGTGCCGAGTGACGGGAGCTCGGGTCACGGTGAAATCGACGTGGAATTTCATTTTCGAAAGTCCGGAAAAACGTTTCGACCATTCGGTCCTCTATATTAACTGATTTCCACTATTAGCATATATTACGTATGTCGATCTTCTTAGTCATCATTGGTCATCATCAATGAAGTTTGTATATACATATTTAAATTACATCAACAAAACGGTTAGTTATAAGATGATATTTTTTATTTTTTCGTACAATGCAAACGAGCCGAGACCTGCAACTTGGATTACGTGTTAAGATTAAATGAAATTGTTATTCCTTGCGTCAATCGGTGGCACAGAGAAAGCAGGATCTATGCTCACTTTCGATTTCGATCCACGTCGGAGGAAGCAGTAGAGGAGGGTACAAATACGTCAAAGAGCTTTGATCCCAAGAAAAGTGTATTTGAAATCGGTTGCTACATAAGTCGGAACGAATTTATCCGTAAACGATACAAGAAGCGTCACCGTGCAGCTGGTACGCCAGGTTCATCGATCCAGCTGGTTACCATTCACGAAGTCAGTAGGTAATGCGATAACCGTGCTGCTCGATCGAGTAAGTGGAAGGTGCTGCTGCCAGTTCGATAGAAGGCACAGCCGGCAAAGCGTAAGCGTACGGAGAAACCTATAAGCAAATTTGATTTAAAGTTCAAAACACTTCAATTGAAAAATTAGTTAGTTTACAAAGCGTATTAGTTCGTTCTTCGTAAAATCTTATCAGATGTCCAGAGAATGCGTAAAGATATGACTTGGCAAATTTTCTATTGCTTAAATATAAGAATACATTCAATCACGAAGTGCAATGTACAAATTAAAAAGAGTTAAAAGACGAGCGTACATTACGGGCTATCTATTATTGTATTCAAATATGTTTTAACGCGTTTTACAAACCTGAAGAGGTGAAAGAATGGGTGGAAACGCCAGGGGTGCGATTACTTGCGTCAATTTTGTAGTTGACGCTGGTGTTTTTAGCTCGGTTATCGTGGACAGAGCTCTCGCGGATGCAGGTGATCGTGACGGGGGTAGAACCGAAGCCGGTGATATGGAAGATGCTGGTGATAGCGAAGATGCTGGTGATAACGGAGATGCTGGTGATAGCGGAGATGCTGGTGATAGCGGAGATGCTGGTGATAGCGAAGATGCTGGTGATAACGGAGATGCCGGTAATAGCGAAGGTGCCGGTGGTAGCGAAGGCACCGGTGATAGCGAAAGTGCCGGTGGTAGCGAAGGCGCCGGTGATAACGAAGGCGCCGGTGATAGCGAAGGTGCCGGTGATAGCGAAGGTGCCGGCAGTAACGAGGGTGTCGGTGATAGCGATGTTGCCGGCGTCGGGCTTAGCTTAGATTCGATGGCAGGTTTCGGTTTAACATCCTGAGGTGCCGGGGCGGCATAGACCGCGGCAATCGCGACTGCAAGCACAAACTATAAAAACGTCTTTTTTTATTCCTTTGTTTTAAGTGAGAGGTGCAAAGTATATTTGCACGAGACGCTTCGTTTTGTATTCCATATAAGAATACACGCTTGTCATTAGTTTCCATACATTTGTTATTATCGATTCGTGTTACATCGTTTACTCAGCATGAGTGGGTGAAAAGTATTAATAGTTAGAATGAATTTACTCACGAACTTATACATGACGAGTGAATTTTCTGCGGCACACGCTTCAAGATGCTCCTATATTTCTGGATGCGGATCGTCTCGGTCCTCTGGTACTTATAGAGATCCTGGGGATGCCGTAAAAAGGAAACCCGTCCTCGTTCGCGAAGCTGTTGCATTCCGCTTCGACTTTAGGGGCGGGACTTCGCTCCACCTTGAGACTCGCACCGGAAAAATGTTTCAGAACGTATACATTTACTGGTCTCTGATTTTTACGTTTCGATCGCAAAAATAAATAGATCAAAATGTGATCTGGTCTCATCGAGTCAAGTGATTCTTAAACCGAGACAAAATAGAATTCCTAATATAGAAAAATATTGGTCTAGTATATTGTAATTATGGAAAATATGTATCGTCTTCTATGAATTCTCTATTTGGATTACTCGATCGATACTTTTGTTAAAAGTTTGGGGATGAGAACTGAGAGTATTTTTCGCAATTTATTGAAAATACGAATGAAGTGCACTGTAAATAAGTTTATCCTAAAGGGAGAAGGGAGAAGGGCGTGCCTGCTCGGACGACAAAAATCGACTCGCGACAGTAACCGGTTCGCCGGTACTTTGCATGCCCTTACACTTGAGGCCGAGGAAATTTTCTATCCAAGAAGCCTCTCGAATCTTCGAAGAGCCTTCAGTGTCTTCCTCTCGTTACACACAATTTTATTACAATTCATTTTAGCTTCTTAATTATTCTATGGTCCATTCCTTTTGATTTTATCCGTTAATAAGGAACGAAAATAGGATTTTAAACGAATTAGCTGACGTAGATTCATTATCGGTATTAAGAGATCTAAGCGAGATAAAGGAAGACGAGACAAAAGAGAACGAAAAGAAAAGCAAATTATTATAATATCTTAGAAAGGATGAGTTTATTACGGATAATGAGTCCACTCCATCGATCCTCTGTTGTATCGGATAGAACAAGAAGCTATTACAGGAACAAAAGGGAACGGGACGAAGAAAATAATATGTATTGATTTGAAAATGATGAAAAAAGTTTATTGCGGATAATTAGCCGACTGCGTCGATTCTCCGGTTACATTGTAATCAGACATAAGAATACCAGACAGAACGATCCCGGGGATAACGTGGTCGATGTTGAACACGGTCGACTAGAGGCTGAAGAAGTGGTCCCGTTGGTCGTCGAAGAATTCAGATTAACGGAGAGCAGTTCAGAACGTGTATCCGGCGGCGACGACCGGTGCGTGAGCGTAGACGGTCGCTGGTGCAGCGACGATGGGCGCAGCGGTCTTGACGATGGCAGCGGCGGTGTGCACAGGGGCTACGGGTGCGGCGTAGTAAGGAGCGGCGACCAAGGGGCTCTTTACCGAGACTTTGTAGGTGTTGGCGTAGCTGGTGGCGACGGGGACGCTATGGGCCACTGCCACAGGCGCCGCAGCGACGACCGGAGCCGCATGGATAGCCGCAAAACCTGGTGCAGGCTCGGGTGCCGGCGCAGCCAGAGCGCAGGCGAAGAGGGCGAACAGAGCGATGAACTTGTACATGGTCGATCGGTTAATTGTTTCTCGAACAGAAAACGAGCAGGTTGCTTACTTGACCAGCTGAGATCGCTGAGAAACGAATGATGCTCGAACGGTCGATCGGCTGTCCTTTTATCCCGCCAAACTGACCTCTCCCACCCGGGACCACGTTTCGCGAACACCGTTCCGTGGTACGCACTCGTCCTGAATGAGACCGTGCTTCTATCCCACTACCTAGACGCGTTCAGGGTCTTTTCGTTCCCTCGCACACTCTGTACAGGGGGAACATTGCCAAGGACTGTGGTTCTCGATCTGGATCCGCGTGCAACGTACCCGAAAGACCCCGGTCGTCCGTTTTTTTCGCACCTTCGGTCATTGTCGATACCATCGACCCTACGCTCCGCCCGATACCTCTTTTTATTATCGGTCGTCCTCCATCGCTCCGTGTTCGACCGGCTCACTTGTATTTTAAGTGGTATCAACGAGGATACCCGTCCAGCTGCTGATCTGGCAAATGCCACTATTGTCCGGAAGATTGCCTAACGAATTAGGAGATCGACTGGTTATAGGATATTCATCCATAACATCTATAACGGGCAAGCAATCCGTATTTCTAGATAATGACAATTAGTTAACCGAGCGTTCGCTAATTAATAAACGCGATTCTCATCCCGTAATCCAAACTCTATTTCCACGCTAACGTAACGCACCTGCATTCGTAGAAGTTAATGCCGATACCGATAACGTTACGTTGCACGGCGTGTTTACTTCGAGCGTCGCGTCGCCACGATTGAGTAACAATTGGTAAACCGTGTGCGAAACGCCCACTCCGTGGTAGGCGTCGCATCGCGACGCATACCGACGGAGGTCAGCTTTCGTGTCCGAAAGAAAAACGGGGATGGATGGATGGATGGCCGGTTGTGACACGTAGTTTGCGAAACACGCGTATGCTCGCGCTCTCGTAATTCATTCGTTCGTTCTTTCCGGAACCAGTCCACCTCATCTAAATCTTTCCCTCTGCCCCGTTAACTCTACCTCCCGGCTAACGAGCGGCCACGTATTTCGTAGCAAGGTCGCGTTTCGTAAATGCCCGGTAAACGCCGCGCCGTTCGACAAAGCGTCGTCGTCCTCCATACACTTACGCTTTTCGTTTTTTAATTTTTTTTTATTCCCCTCGACCTTCTTCGACGGCTGCAGGGTGTATCCTGTAACGGTAACCACCGACTTTTAAGTATAATTGAACAAAAGATTCTTGGGAAGGAAGATCGATCAATTCTGTGTTCGCTGACGGTATTCTTAAATCGTATCTCATGTTTATTTTTTGTGACTGTCGGAAGAGAGTTCAATGCTCCGTACATATAATCAATCGAACCTCGAATCAAATTACGTATTTGGAATAAGATTCAATAATAGCCCTGGGCGTTATAAAAAATAGAGATGTTAATCATCATAGTTGAAAAATAATGGATATCACAGAATACATCGTGCTTACGCTACCACCCATGAGTAAAGATTCCTTGACTATAGAACAGCCTGAATTATGCATTCCTATGAATAATAAAAGAGTGAAATCTAATTTGAAATTTCTTTCACCTTTCAAAAACAATGCAATTCATGTAATATATTCTTACGTGGGTGTACTCTTCATAATATTTTCTGCATATCATGTTTTTTCGAGATAAAATCTGTAGTTCGATTGTAAGAATGAAAGGTCAATCTTTTACAATCGTGTCTTTTACTAAATGGTCAAGTACTGACACGGATGGTATTGTGTGACGCCGTCGATCGAAGAATTGGGTACGGGATATTGCGGATAGCCATGATCCTAGCGACGCCCAAATCCGGAAGGCCTTGGCCCCTCGACGTTGGGCATCGCTCAAAAGACTTTCGGATTACGGCACCGGCCGTCATGCGAAAAAATGTTAACCAGTTTCTCGCTTGGGTACGGGGATGTTATTCCGTCGTTATAAAAGCGGCGGTTCCTCGTCGAGAGCCGAATCACTCGAGTTTCGAAGCGATTGCGCGAGGGTCCTGGCCGTTGGCTAGACGCCCGCTATCAAGGTGGTTGTTCGCCGTTGCGTCACGTCCCGGGATTGCGATACGTACCGCGATTTCGTTACTCTCAACACTGATTTATATTGCTCGCACGAACTCGGAATGCATTGAAAGACGTCGGTGTATTTTTTAATCCAACAGAAACGGAATCTTTTCACAATTTCCCACTTTCGGTCGATCGGTAGTCGTTTTCTATTTCGCTCATGTTCCCTCCCGTTCTATAGTCGTACTCATTGGTAGACCGTAGATGTTACACATCGTATTTGTAAATCGATACTATAGAAGTCATATCGTGTAAAAATGCAGTCTGGTCTGATATGGTTTTTGCGTATGGAAGTAAAAATCTTGAATAAAAGATTGAATAGTCACGATAGACAAGTTGTAAGACGTCGTACGTGGCAATCTGAAAGAGACCTCGACCAGGGAGACATCGACGATCTCGCAACAATACCGTTGACAATGCTATCGTTTCGTCGATTGTCGATGATTCACAACGGGAGGCCGGGCCTTCGCGCGTTTTTCTTATTCTTACTTATGCATTATACGAGGGAATATGCAAACGAGCCACGCATAAACGTGAGAAATCGTTTTCTTAAACGGATCAAGGGTAACTGGATTCATCGAGATAGACGTTTCGAGCCTTTTAATGATTACTGGTCATTTGATTGATTGCTGGATTTACAGAGAATCGATATAATCGAAAAAAAATGTTTCCTCTTATTGTAGTAGATTTTACAATAGTATATTGAAGGAACGTGGTTGACGTAGTGTTTCTTTAAAGATACAATAACGCTGACTTGGAGGATAATCAAGTTTGGGAAAAGGGTGGGGTGAAACGTTTTGTCGAACGTAGAAGAGAAATGAAGTTCTATTTTTAAACACAATACGAGCTCTGGTGATACATGCACATTTTCATAAGGAACGAAACTTTGACTATATATATATATTTGTTCAGGGTTTAAATCGACCTCATGGATTTTCACCCTCGCCCTCTTCTTCCTCGTCGAATTCGCCCTCCTCCTCGGCGGTGGCCTCTTGATATTGCTGGTACTCAGAGACCAGGTCGTTCATGTTGCTCTCAGCCTCGGTGAATTCCATCTCGTCCATTCCTTCGCCCGTGTACCAATGCAGGAAAGCTTTCCGCCTGAACATGGCGGTAAACTGTTCCGACACTCTCTTGAACAGTTCCTGAAATCCAACAGAAATCAACTCCTGTTTGCACCGTGATTACTTTCGTATGAGAGTGAGTGCAAAGGGTCGACAGAGACGTACTTGGATCGCCGTTGAATTGCCGATAAAGGTCGCCGACATCTTCAGACCACGGGGAGGAATGTCGCACACAGCGGTCTTCACGTTACTGGGTATCCACTCGACGAAGTAACTACTGTTTTTATTCTGAATGTTCAGCATCTGTTCGTCGACTTCTTTCATCGACATCCTCCCACGAAAAACGGCCGCCACGGTCAGGTAACGACCGTGGCGCGGATCGCAAGCCGCCATCATGTTCTTCGCGTCGAACATTTGTTGCGTGAGTTCCGGGACCGTGAGAGCTCTGTACTGCTGCGAACCTCTGTCTCGGAACAAACAAGCCTTTGTAAGAGAATTCAGAGTTGACACTGGCAAAACGTTTCTAATGCACGCGGTAAAAGACGGTCGTTATCCAGTCGCGCCGAGTGAGATCATACCTGGATGTTAAGGGTGCGAAGCCTGGGATAAAGAAGTGCAGTCGGGGGAAGGGTACCATATTTACAGCGAGTTTGCGCAAGTCGGCGTTCAGTTGTCCGGGAAATCTCAAACACGTGGTCACTCCACTGAGCGTTGCGCTCACAAGGTGATTCAAATCGCCGTAAGTAGGTGTGGTCAATTTCAATGTACGGAAGCAAATGTCGTACAAGGCCTCGTTGTCAATGCAGTAAGACTCGTCTGTGTTCTCCACCAACTGGTGCACGGAAAGGGTGCAATTGTAGGGTTCGACCACGGTATCCGATACCTGTTGATAGAATTTGTTCTCTTTTTATCTCAGAACGATCTAATCTGATTTTCTCTTAAGGATGTATTAGCTATACAATCATTCCCAAAAGTTTATGCACTTTAGAAACGCATTTTTTAAAAAGAAATCAGACGTCGAAAGAACATTGCTAATAATAAACAACAACAAAAAATTTTCGATTTTTCCGAGATTTTTCCAAGGGGTACCCCTTCAATTTCTTCCAAATTTTCGTTTTTGGCCAATAACTCCCAAACCGTTGGACATACGGAAAAATTGCAT